CAAGTTCAACGATGACATCAGTGTCGAGGGTGTCTCAAGTGACGACAATCACGACGGAGGCTGTGATTCGTCATTCCGCAGCTGCCAAGGATAAGGAGATCCTTGCAGCTATGCCTACCGTGGTCCCTGAAGTGACCATTTGGGTAAAGGATGGACAACTGGAGGCGAGCATCAGTGGCGAGACAGCCATGAAGTTCCTGATTGTGGCCTGCGGAGGATCTGGGGTCATCTCAATCCTGGTGTTTTTGGCCTGGATGGCTCGACAGTTCTACTTAAAAGTGAGTAAATATTTCAAGGGCCTCTTTCTTGGTCCAAGAAGACTTTCTAGAGTAAAATAAAAATAGTCTCAAGAAAATTAGTCTTAAAGGAAAACATTTTCTATTTCTTTTTTTTTTTTTAGAAACAAGAGGGGGATCAAGGGGTAGCAGAGGCAGAATTGCCTCCCATAAATTTTGATGAGATCGAGGAAGATGTAGATGCTTTTGTTCAAAATTTTGAGAGCATGACCAGTACATCTTTTGGAGAGGGTAAATATTTTTCTAGAAAAAGAAAAATTAAGAATTGAAAACTAATGCAATTTTTGGTTTTGTATTTTCCAGTGGCATTCCATTCAACACAGTACATCTTTTGGAGAGGGTAAATATTTTTCTAGAAAAAGAAAAATTTAGGACTTGAAAACTAATGCAATTTCAGTTTTGTATTTTCCAGTGGCATTCCATTCAACGAGCTGCGAGATGGATGGGCCTCCTAACAGCTGTGCATCCTACAACAGCCACAGCTTCTGAAGAAGGAGGTGAAGAACAAGTTACCTCAACCGGGGATCTTTTGGAGCTCAACACGGAAAACGTGGAAACAGAAGATCCTCGATGCTCAGCTTTTTGGGCATAAAAATATTGTGTTTTTTTGGCGGTTACTTATTTTGATGCGGTACGGTCTCGGTTAGAAATTTTTTGTTTTGTACATAGGAAAAACGGTCGGCAAAATAATCAAGAAAATGTGGTGAATTGGTTGTGCTTTTTTTGTATGGCGCCCTTGATTTTTCTCGTTGTTACCAAAGAAGTTCTTTTTGATTCGCGCCTTGTCGTTGGTACTTTTTTGTATGGTCTGAAAATAAAAGCTTTGTAAAACGAAAATCTGGTTGCACTTTTTACTTGTAAAAGAAAAATACAAGCAACAAAGTAAAACTTTAATTTTTACACAGGGTGTAAAAAATGGGATAAAGATAGGGAAATCGCATATTTTTAGGTAACCTTCGAAAATACACATAGGGACAAAATTGTAAGAAAATGGTTTGGATTTTTCGGGCTAGGGTTTCTAAAGAAAAATAGATGTCTGGGTCAAAACCAGAAAATACAGAAGTAGAAAATATGAAAACAGTCTAGATAGTTTAAACTATAGAAAGGACACCAGTGGTCGGATTCATGACCATTTCTAGCTTGGGATAGAGGGCGTTCCTTCAGTTGGGAAAAATAGTGGTTGCCCTTGGTTCTGGGGTACTTTCTCTCTGTCTTCTTTGTTGGAGTACAAAACGAATTTTTGCA